TCCTTGTTGGGTACCTGAAGGACTTCAACAACCTGAGAAATGCAGGACATTATCCAACAAGTAGAAGAGACAGGCTGAGGATTGGGACCCAATCTTTCTCAAGAAACTCCAATGCCACATAGACATCTATCACCCACTGAAGGAGAGGAATGTGATAGGTGGGAGTTGGGGGGGAGAATATCGAAGTCACCTAAATAGGGAGACTGAACACTGTCTGAGGGGTCTCTTTAACAGATCAGATTGGACTACTTTAAATAAGATTAAATGTTTAGTTATAGTTTTTCCCTAGAAGTAATGGATAGGAGATAGGAAAGACTAGAAAACTAAAATTTTTTGCATCTTCTCTTTATATTAAATGTAGTCTTTGTTTACTTTTGCTATGTAGGCTGTTTCCAGTGCATTCTACACTGCTCCACAAGAAGCAATTGACTTAAAGTCCTAGGAGGCTCATTTGCATAAGCTTGCTGGAAGAATCTTTCCTACAAAAGCAACTATTAATTCAAGAGGAATTAAAAATAGAATTAAAATTCCCCCATCTCATTGTCCTTTCTCACAAAACTATATCAGAGATATAATGCTTAAGATAAAAGTGCACACTGGAGCTCTGGGTGGCACAGCAGGCTAAGCGTTCAACTCTTGATTTTGGCTCAGGTCATGATCTCAAGATTGTGAGGCGGAGCCCCACATCAGGCTCCATGCTCTGCGGGGGCGGGGTCTCCTTGAGAGTCACTCTCTCCCTCCTCCTCTGCCCCTCCCCTTACTTTTGCTCTCTATATAAATGAAAAAGTATAAATTTTTTTTTAAAAAAAAAAGAAAATGTGCACACCCAGAGCACAGTGGCTGTGTTTATTAAGCAAAAACTACAGAAAATGCAAGGAGATATGAGTAAGAATGCCTTAATAATAGCCTTCAATACACCATTCTCAGTACAAAACAAATCGAGTGGGCAAAAAATAAAGAGGTAGAAGAGTCAACAATGTAATGAAGAAAGTAATGGATTATTACTCAGCCATTAGAAACGACAAATACCCCCCATTTGCTTCGACATGGATGGAACTAGAGGGTATTATGCTGAGTGAAATAAGTCAATCGGTGAAGGACAAACATTATATGGTCTCATTCATTTGGGGAATATAAAAAATAGTGAAAGGGAATAAAGGGGAAAGGAGAAAAAATAAGTGGGAAATATCAGAAAGGGAGACAGAACATGAAAGACTCCTAACTCTGGGAAACGAACTAGGGGTGGTAGAAGGGGAGGTGGGTGGGGGGTGGGGGTGACTGGGTGAAGGGCAAGGAGGTGGGCACTTGACCAGATGAGCACTGGGTGTTACTCTATATGTTGGTAAATTGAACACCAATAAAAAATTTATATTAAAAAAAGAAAGCAAATCTCATGGCTATACTGAGAATGCAGTCTCTTCTCTATAATAACAGAGAATAGGGGATCCCTATGTAGCTCAGCGGTTTCGCGCCTGCCTTTGGCCCAGGGCGCGATCCTGGAGTCCCGGGATCGAGTCCCGCGTCGGGCTCCCGGCATGGGGCCTGCTTCTCCCTCTGCCTGCTTCTCCCTCTGCCTGTATCTCTGCCTCTCTCTCTCTCTCTGTCTATCATAAATAAATAAAAATAAATCTTTAAAAAAATAACAGAGAATATACTCTTTCTACAGACACACATGGCATATTCATAAAAAATGATTATGTATTAATAAACATTAGCACACATCAGTAAAGTTCCATGAAGTAGAAGTCTCACAAACAAATTTTATGACCACAATGCAATAAGACTAGAAATCATTTTGAACAGTAATCTGGAAGTTAAAACACCTTCTACTAAAAAACTTTCATTGAAAAGAAAAATACTAACCGAGGCTTTAGAGTTTCTTAAAGACCATGATAAGGAAAATCCTATATAGCAACAGATCTGGAACTCCTTTAGAGAAATGAGGGGAGGAAAATGCATTGTACCCAAGACTTCTTATTTCAATAAAAATAATGGAAATGAATCAGTTCAATTCCCACCTCAGGAGAAAATTGGAAAAGTCCAGTGAAGTAAAACCAAAGGAAAAGCTCAAGTTTGCAAATAATAACGATAAAAACAAGAATTACTGTAGTAGAAAATTCAAAACACTAACTAGCTAACAAATTAAAATTCTTGTTTATTGAAAAAAAATAAACTATTAACTTTTTCAAGAAAAAAGAAGGGAAGGCAGGCCGGTGGCTCAGCGGTTTAGTTCTGTCTTAGGCCTAGTTTGGGATCCTGGAGACCCGAAATCGAGTCCCGCGTCGCTCCCTGCATGGAGCCTGCTTCTCCTTCTGCCTGTGTCTCGGCCTCTCTCTCTCTCTCTCTCTGTCTCTCACGAATAAATAAAGTCTTTAAAAAAGAAGAAGAAGAAGAGGAAGAGGCACAAATGAAATTTTCAAAATGATAAGAAGTGATGACCCCTGAATTAGAGGAAATTTTAAAAAGTTAAGATTTCTCTGCAAATAAATGTGAAGACCGAGATGAAATGGATAATTTTCTAGAGAAATACAGATCACCAACACTGTCTCCACCAGAGAGATAAAGTTGAAATAGACCAATTTACATGGAAAAGATAGAGAAAGCCATTCAGGAACCAGTCCACAAAATAAGCACCAGGGCTGGGTGGTTTTTCTTGGAAATCCTTCCGAACTTTCAATGCCCAGATAATCCTAGTGCTCTTTAAATTGTTCCAGAATATTGGAAATTAAGGGAAATTTCCCTATTTGCTTTTTAAAAAGAAGTATAGCATTGATACCTAATCCTGACAAAGACTATACAAAAAGATAAAACTATAAACCATTATCTCTCTCGAGTATCAATACAAAAATACCACACACAAAAATTAGCAAATAGACTCCAGCACCACATTGTTAAATGTGGTGCATCAAGACCAAATAGGATTTAAAACAGAAATGAAAAATTGGTTTGCTATTAGAAAATCTAAGAATATCATTCACCTTTATTAATAGATAGAAGGAAAAAGAATCATAAGGTTATTCCCATAGATGATTTTTTGAAAGCCTTGACAAAACATATTAGCCATTCATGGCAAATAATATGATAGCTATTCACTCAAGAAAAAAGTGGTTGGAAAATACTTTCTTAAAATGTTTCTACACACACACACATTATATACTACTGTAGACAGTACCTCACTTCACTGGAAATCACAAAAGATATATCAGAATAAAGCAAGTGTGGCCATCCACTATCATTAAGCATCATGATGGAGGTTTTAGCCAATGCAGTGAGATGAGAAAAATCAATTAGGGGCAGAAGACTAAATACAGAGGGACACTTGAGTGGCTCAGTCGATTGAGTGTCTGCCTTTGGCTTGGGTCATGGTCCCAGGGTGCTGAGATCAAGCCCTGCGTGGGGCTTCCTACTTGGTGGGGAGCCTGCTTCTCCCCTTCCCTCTGTCACTCCCCTTGTTTGTAGTCTCTCTCTCTTTCTGTATCAAATAAATAAATAAATAAAATCCTTTAAAAGAAGAGGAAGAAAAAGAAGAAGACTAAGTACAGAAGTGACAAAGTGTGGTGCATCCATCAAATGGAATCCTAACCAGCAATAAAAGAAGACAAGCTATGGACACATACCACTTGGATGAGTCTCAAAATCTTTATGCTGAGTGAGTGAAGCCATTCTCAAAAGGAACTTGGTTTTACTTATCTCTAGATTCTCCATGTTTTCTATGATATAAAATCTACCCCACAGTAAAACAATCAATGAATATTAATGAATGGATGAATAGCTATAAACTCCTAAAACTCAAGGGAAGGGAATATGCCGTGTCTCATTTCCTATTGTATGAACCACAGTGTGTAGTATTTATCAAGGACCTCCTCTCTGCCTTCTACCCTGGTAGACAAATGGGTAACACTGTTCTCAGGGTACTTCATGTGGGCCTCTCATCTTCCCCTGTATCTCAGAAGCAGAACCTTTTCTCTGCTCCACCTACAGCATTAGCCTGAAGGCAAAGGTGAGAATAATCGAATGTATTTACACTGGAAAGAATCACTTAAAGACATTTTTTTTTTCAGATTAAGCCTGCATTTACTTTTTCTGGAGAGCTATACGTGGCTCTTTGATGAAATATTTGCTTACAGAAGGTCATAACACAACAGGACGTTAAATTCATAATGGAATTTTGCCTGAAACTCCAATGATGGAAACGGTACACTCAAAGTGCACCTATGTTCTGCAGAGTGCAATCAAATCTGTCTCCCTCTGAGTGGCTATTTCAAAATGTAAGTTTTCTGTGTTATGCTTCTCTTATCCTCGAGCCTTTGCTAGCTTTTAGTAAATGTACAGTCCAAACTCATTTGTGGTTTGGGAAAATAAGGGAGAGGCATATTTAAACTTTAAGAGGTTTGCTTTGCTTTGCTTTAATGAAGGTTTACATTGCTTTAAAGGGAGGTTTATATTTAAGGTTTAAGTTTTATATTTAAACCTTCATTCAAAGCAAAGTGGCTTGGGGCATGGAGAAGCCAATTTCAAGATGGCAGAGCAAGGAGAGTTGGCATAAGTCACATATTTCCACCAGGACATGTTGGTAGAACACGGAAATGTGCTTTGGGAAGCCCTAGAAATGATTAGGTGAGAAGTACCCAGGAGAAAAGGGATAGAGGCACCTCCTACTTTTGTTATCCATATCATAAAGGGGAATTTTTGCACCAGGAAAACCAGAAAGGTCTCTGAAATCTTGTTTACACATGATTTCTATTAGTGCAGAATGAATGAATCAAGGAGAATGTGGTGTTGGACTGGCGGAGGGGCTGAAACTGTGGCTGGAGTGTTCCAGGAAAGAGGAGGAGAGATGTCTTGAAGGTTGATGAAGACTAGTTCTGAAATCATCTTGAAATTTTACAAAAAAAAAAAATGAAACTCATCCCTGTGTTCTTAGAAGACATAGCAGTGGTATTTTCCAAGAAAGTGTGGACTCCAATTTTATACAAATATGAGAGAACAGAAAAGATTTATTGTAGTAACAGTAAACAAACAATTCAACTGGGTGGGGGTGGGCAATGTGCAGATGACCTCCAAAGCAATAAGTAAGCAGTAAACAATCAAGATGTGATGGCAACAATTGGTTTCACAAGGAAAAGTGGTTATTCAGCAAATATTTTTGCATTGAGGTTGGTCAAAGAGCTGCTATAGATGTTTGAACATTGCTCTCTTATGTGTTGAATCTCTTTCATCCACTCTTTCTGGCATTTTACTTAGTTGAGTTCTGAGAGATCTATTTTCCAGATGCCCCATTGTTCTTCAGGGGGCAGATGGTAAGGAAAAATTTGAGTCCTTCTGTAAAAATATAATTAAACACATATTTCCAATCATGTGGAAAGAATTCCATAAGTATCTCCATCTATAGATTACCCAACACACAGAACTGATCTTTCTAACCACCCCTATGGCTAAGGTTATCATCACTATGTCCTAAGGGCAAAAATAAGTGGTAGAAGCAGCAGAGGGAGATGATCCAGCAATCTAGAAAGGATGTAGAGGAGAAACTTTTATGAGGGAGCAATAGAGAAAGTTTGAGGTCATCTTCTTTGAAGAATTCACGAGGTAGAGGGCATCAGTCCTTTCTGCTTTGGAGTTCCACAAACTGAGAATTCATCCCTCCTCTGTTAAGTCAACCAGACCTCTACCAATTGCTGACAGTGAGCTTTATTACACACTTTAGTTGGGAGAGCCTGGGACACACAACTCGGAGCACTCTGACTTTGGTGAACAAGTTGGGGGATAGAGGTGGGGCAGGACCACCAGGAAACACACAGGGAATAAGGAGATCTTTTCATTCAGTTTAATCTTCCTTAAATAGGTAGAAGAAAACATGGAAAGCCATCTCCAGTACTTTCGTGATGATTTCAATTATCCCACTTTCACTCTCCACTTCATTTCTGGCATTCTGCTGCTTTAGAGCGTAGAAAGCCTCCCTCTCTGCCAACTTCATCTCCATTTCTTCCTGTCGTTTCTGCTGCTCCAGTTTATCCTCCAGCATTCTGATTTTCTTTCCAAACTCCTCTCTTATCTGCACTCTCTGTCTCTCTAGCTCTGCTCTGTAAAATTCTTGTAACACTTCGATTTTTTTCTGAATCTCCTCTTCGGCCTTTTGGAACATCTTATTGGTGTAACATCCTCCTTCATTCTCCATCACCACGCGCTGGACCAGGGTGAGTAGCTGCATTCTCTGAGCCTCCTGCTCAGTTCCTGTTGCTCGATTGTTGAACACACAGTAGCGATCCCGGAACATGTCCACCAGCTCTTGGATGTCTTCCGAAGCATCCTTTAAGTAGTCCTGGAAATGCATGCCATCCAAGTCATCTTTCCGGGTGAATAAGAGAATCATATACCTCCGAGCTCGGGGTCCAAACATTTGCAGAATCTTCTCCATGGCCTTGCGTTCTTCCTGAGTGTACCGGCCCAGCGGGACCACCAGGAGCAGAGCGTGAGGCCCCGGGGAGGTCAGGAGGATGCAGTGAGCAATCTCTCTGCACGTGTCAGCATCCTGTACCTCGGTGTCGAAAATGCCAGGCGTATCCACGACGATGAGTTCTCTCCCATGCCACCTGCTGCTCCCTTTCTTACAGACCTTGGTGACAGATTTTGCTGCGATGCTGGAATGAAACACTTTCTCTCCAAGGATGCTGTTGCCTGTTGCACTCTTTCCCGCTCCAGTCTTTCCCACTAAGACAAGTCTCAGTTGTGAGTCTCTGCAGTCTTGGGATCCAAGCCCTTGCATATCAGGAAACAGAAGCCACAGCATTAGGATGGACATCTAGCTGTTTCCCCAGCAGGGCCCCTGTCCCCCTCATACAACCCCCTCCTCTATTGCCTGAGGCTCCCCTCCTGTGAGTGACTTCAGCACCCTTCTATAGAAGCCTATTGAAAGTCTATAGACAGCCTGAGGTTCCTCTTGCAGCGCTTGGGAAAGGGCCAAATACTTTCCAGGATTCTCTTGAGCTTCTTATTCTTACCTTTTATAGCTAAGTAGCCCACAGAAGAGGAAACAAAATAGTTCAAGAAGAGAACTCAGAGCTGCTGCTGGTAGCTGGTCATCAGAGCCATGCAGGAAGTAACACGAAATCTGACTTTGGGACCTCTCAGTGGGAGTTCCTTCCCCAAACTGTATTCAAAATGGAACCTTTCCTCTTTCCATTAAGGAGTCAAGTGGGCAGGTTATACAAACCATCCCATCCTTGCGAGGTACAAAAGGGATGCCAGGGCAGAAAGACAAAGCATCCCTTTCTAGTTCCTATGTGTGACCATCCTGTCAGGGATTGTGACCCGAGAGAGAACAGAATACCTTCATTTAAAGTTAAAGACCTTCAGGGTCCTGGGTGGCTCAGTGGTTGAGTGTCTGCCTTTGGCTCAGGTCATGATCCCGGGGTCCTGGGATCGAGTCCTGCATCGGGCCCCCCCGCAGGGAGCCTGCTTCTCCCTCTGCCTGTGTCTCTCATTAATAAATAAATAAACTCTTTAAAAAAATAAAGACCTTAGATTAGAATCTAGCTACATTTTTTTACATTCTAAATTAAGACATTAAGGAATTATAGCCAGAAAATATTGACAGTTCTCTGAAGTGACTATAAAATTCTTCGATAGATCAAAAAAGAAAGAAGAAACCCATACATCGATGGAGTTATCCTCTCTTATTTCCACCAGATGAAGCACATTCTCCTTCCTAGGAAAGTCAACAGCTAACACCTGCACAGCGCAGCCTAGCAACAGAAACTCTGTTCTCGGAACAACCTCTGAGCCTTGAGTGCAACTCCAAATCTTCTATGCAGTTCTTCCGCACTGGTATTCAGTGATTCTCTGCACATCTTACTGTGTCAGTACAGGCCTGGGCTTCAGTATTTGTTAAGCACAGAGCCAGGACCCCTGGGATGGATAAACAGGGCGCAATCACATTTGAGAGCCTGTTTCTCCCAGAAGGTGGACCCTACCCGCATAGCCCTTGAAGGAGGCTGATTTCTGCATGAGGAATCCTGTATCACAACCTTCCATTTTGGCTTGAAGATGATGCATACATCACCACACTCACAATTCCAGACACTGTTATAAGCCTCATCTTATTTCTCAGGGGGAATATTGCCATTCGGACCAAAAATCTAGGCACTGCTCTTGATTCTTCTCTTTCCTTTACTTTCCACATCCGGCCCAGCAGCGTGTTCTCTTGACTTCACCTGCAAAACTGTGCCTCTCTCCACTTGGAAGCCCACCACACTAGCTCAAGCTACCATCAGCATCCATGCTTCCAGAGGCTCCCAGGTGGTCTCTCTGCTTCCATTTTGTCCACTTCCATCTACCCTGTCAACTGGAATATTCTTTTAAAAATACCAAATAGAGGAGAGAGATTGCAGAACCCCAACTCTGGCTTCCACGAAATCTATAGGGAATCCCCCTCTCCTTCTGAGGATTAGCAGAACCAACCCTAATGCAGAGTTGCCTGCATCTGATAACCAGAATCCTGGGGTGAGACAAGTGACCTCCAGAAATCAAGAACATCGAATACAGGATGGTGAGGATTATCCGAGGGAAAATGTGGATGGGAGTTCAGATGATTATTCAGTTAGCAGCACCATGGAAAACTCCACCCTCAGGACATCCTGAGGGCATTGGTAGAGAGGGAGTAGAAAATCAGGGGAGGAGAAACAGAAAGGCCCTTTACCAGGAGAAAGTGCAAGAGGGTCCAGAGTGAATGGAGAGGAAATCAGACATGGGGGTGGGGTACAGTGCTCCAGCTTGCATGAGGGCTGGTGGCCAGCACAGGAGAACACCCCCTAATAGCTGTCCTCCCTCTGGGCTGGACACCCTCTCACCGCAGCTGCTTAGGGGTTCGCTGGCACCGGAGCTTGCACTGGACTTCAGGGCTGCCATTGCAATGAGCTCCTGGACAGAAAGAAACATGACATGTCATTTTAGGGAAATAGAAAGTAAGTGGAAACCTCAACCTCGTGTAGCCAACAGTTTCATTTTTTCTGTAAACTAGCTTCTTGCTTTCTCCTCCCTGATTTCCCAATGCTTCTCCACTCTCCAGATTGTTCCTTTTTCTCTACACAAACAAATGCTTCGAGGGCTTCGAGGACTTCATAGGCACTGCTTCCAGGTGCCCTTTCCTGGCAATCCTAAGGACTGTCTGAAGCCAGCAGTGCCTAAACAATGCATTCCTTGCTAATAAATTCCTTTCTTCTTCTATTTTAATGCCCTCTCTCTGCCCTTGTGCCTTTCTTTTGTGTAGGTCAGTGGTTGTCCCCTCTATTTGCTGGATAAGGTGCTGCCTGATTCAGGAATCATTAATAAAACCAACTGGATCTTCAAATTTACTTGGTTGAATTTTGTTTCCCTACACAGAATTCTTATTGGAGCGGACTTTGACTAGGACAGGCTGAAAATACTAGTTGTTAAGGCCAGGCTCATCTGATAAGAAGCCATTCAAAAAAAAAATATCTAAACACTATTAGAAGGACAGATATTTCTTTTGTAGGAAGAGTCGTTCATTTCTTTATCCTGTAAGGATAAGGAATAAGAAACAGCTTCTTGTACACTGAGAAGGGAAATCACACAATTTTAAAAATCAGCTTTGGCCACAAACTTGATGTTAGTGATGGGTGCTAGGGAGTAGGTAGGTAGAATAACAGAAAAGGAAACCAAAAGTTTTGGGGTATTTCTTAAGGTCCTTCTTCCAAGCATGTGGGCTCTCTCTCTCTCTCTCTCTCTATATATATATATATATATATATATATATGTTTTTTTTTTAAATCTTATTTAAGTGAGTCAAGGGAGCTGCAGAGGGGGTAGGAGAGAGAACCTTAAGCAGGCTTCATGCCCAGCACAGATCATGATGCGGGGCTCAATCTCATGACCCTTAAATCATCATCTAAGCCAGATGTTCAAGGGTCTAAGTCACCCAGGTGCCCCTGGGTTCTCTCCATTCTGCAGTGCTGTGCTGTTTTATCCCAATTCCGATGTTAAAACAGAGGACTGTACTTTTGTGGTACTGACCCTGGGGGCTGAGTTCTCCTACTCCCTAAAAATAAGCATCCGGGAGAGCCTAGGTGGCTCAGTCAGTCAAGTGGCCAACTCTTGATTTTGGCTCAGGTCATGCTGACATGGGGCCCGTTTAAGTCTCTCTCTCTCCCTCGGTCCCTGCCTGCCCCCTCTTCTTCTCTAAAACACAAAACAAAAAACCCACAAAACATAAAAACAAAACAAACATCATTGGTCCTTAGCTCCCCCTGAACTGCAGAGAGTCACCTGAGGGCGGCGGGGTGGGGGGTGGGGGGACATCTCTGTCATCCCATCTCCTAAGATTCCTTTTCCCCAACTCTGAGCAAGGCTCAGACCTCCCTCTGGAGGCCTGTCTGAGCAGGCACTTAGGTTAGCTGGGTAAGAGAGCCTCTGGGCCTTACCTAGGTGCTGGCTTTGGGGCAGGTGACAGTGAGCTGTACTTCTCACATCTCCCATCTGCTCCCCACGGAGTGACTTCTGTCTGCTTACCCAACTCTACCCCTGAAAGCTTTAAGTTTATTTATATATTCTATAAATAGTTAAAGTGATGAAGTTTTGGAATATAGGTGAAGGTTGGTGGGGTGAGGTCTGGAGCCGACGACCAAAGAAGAATTCTTGAGATGTCTTTGGTGCAAAATGGTGGTTTTTTTAAAGCCCGAGGCCAGGACCTGTGGGCAGGAAGAGCGGTTGCCCCAGGCCCCTGAGGGGTGGCTCACTATATACCTGGGAGTCAGGAGGGGTTTGGGGACAGCGTGCTCTCTAAGGAATTTTGGAAGCAGGGTTTCCAGGACTGTGAGGGGGTAGCTATTGTTGGGGAAAGGTCACTGATTCCTGTCTAATTAAGCCTGAGTCATGAGACCCGTCAGATGTGTAGGGGTGCGCCATGTGCTTGGGGGGGGGGTGATCATGTACTTTGGGGGGTTTAGAGACAAAGGAAATTTCCAAAGGAGTTTTTATATGTTAAAGTAGACCTACAGGCTCCTGGGGGTCGGGCTAAGATGGACTTTCACCCTCAGCACATTATGAACATGGAGGCAGTTGAGTCCCTAGAAGAATGTCCCTCTACCTGTCTCAAGGGCTTGCCAATGAGCTGCCCCGGCTTGTGCCTTGTCCCCAGCTAGTCCCCTGTTCCCCCATCATAAGGAATCATTTATTTTAACAAATATCCTTTGGACAGCAACCCCTAAAAGATGCATTGATTTGTAGGGCTCAGCCTTCAAAACAGATTATAGGGGTGTCTGGGTAGTTCTCTGGGTTAAGCATCTGCCTTTAGCTCAGGTCATGATCCCAGGACCCTGGGATCAAGCCCCACATCAGGCCCTCTGCTCAGCAAGGAATCTGCTTCTCCCTCTTCCTCTGTCCCGCCCCACTTGCACGGAGGTGCTCTCTCAAATAAATAAGATCTTTAAACAAACAGGTTACAACCTAATATCAGCAAAAACAAGAAACAGGTAGTAACAAGACCTATACCTTCTGAGAAGGAATATACCAGTAGGTTTAAGATCTACACCCAAGGGAGAGGTCCTCTGTCCACCAAATCACGTTACCCTCTCCCCAAATACCCCTTTTCCTCTTACCTGGAAAATCTGGGTGCTGCTCCCTTCTCTAACTTTGAAGGCAATTCTAAGACAAGATGTTGAGAAAAAGAAGAGAAGAGGAAGTGAGAGGAGAAGCCGTCCAAACGTGCTAAAGTAAGACCTGCCCACTTCATCATCCAGTGGTTGCAAACAGAACTTTCTGTAGGGGTCCTGGGTGACTCAGCTGTTCTGAAAGCCTATAGTCCCCAACCCCACAACTCAGCGTATCAGGCCTTCCAGCCTAACATCTGCCCCTACTGCTTTAAGCCCGTATCAGTGTAGGCAGCCCTACTGCCTCTCCTTCCTCCCAGTGACTGATGGAGAGAGAGCTGCTATTTCCATGGTCTCATCCGCTCAAGCAAGAGAGGGTAAATGATCTTCATTTAATTAATTAGATGGGTACAAAGTCACCCTGTGAGATGGTGCTCAGACCATTTGCAATAGGCTAATCATTGACATCTGACACTACCTGCCATGAAAATGCAAACTGTGAGTATGGGGGGGGGGATCCCAGTATGAAAGCCAGTTTACTACTACACCTCATAACTGAGACTTTATTTCTTTCCTTTAAAAAAAAAAAGATTTTATTTATTTATGAGAGACACACACAGAGGCAGAGACACAGGCAGAGAGAGAAGCATGCTTCCTGCAAGGATCCTGATGTGGGACTACATCCCAGGACTCCAAGATCACGCTCTGAGCTGAAGGCAGACGCTTAACCGCTGAGCCCCCCAGGTGTCCCTGACACTTTATTTCAAGTTGCATAGCACTGGAGTGATTATACAAACTGCTAACAATCCCAAAGAGATAAAATAGAAGATATAAGTATCTCTGAGGATAGTATGGGGTTGGCCTGGTGTATATAAGCACCAGATGATGACTACATTAATTATTTATTTATTAGAGCTTTTATTTATTTCTTCATAAGAGACACACAGAGAGAGGCAGAGACACAGGCAGAGGGAGAAGGAGGCTCCCTGCAGGGAGCCCAATGCAGGACTCGATCCCGGGACCCTGGGAATCACAACCTGAGCTGAATGCAGATGCTCAGCCACTGAGCCACCCAGGCGCCCCTGATGACTTCTTTAAAACAAGAGACAGGGCAAAGGAACAAATCATGCACTAGCAGTGAGGATAAAGAACATTCCAGAACAATAGAACCTAAATAACAAGCACGACTCAGCCCTTAGATGAAATAAGCAAATGAAAGCAAGTCAGAAAAACAAGCAGAGTATGAACACATGTCTGTGATTCTGAAGTGATCTGAAGAGAGAAAGGATAGGATTATATTTCATTTCTAAGCTTAAGCCCAGCTAGAAGGTCTGTATCGTTCTCTATTTAAGTGTGGGAGTGGGAGCAGAGATTGATGTAAGATATAACAGAAATTTTAAGTACTATTAAACCCCCAAACCATTACTTAGATATTCTTTATTTGGGTCACAAGCATCAATACTTACAAGGAAATTCTCTGTGATGGTTTACATTTGTAACAACACCCAGGTTCATGACCTGAGCCGAGGTTAGACGCTTAACTGACTGAGCTACCCAGGCACTTCTGAAATGTATGTATTTTTCTTTCATTTTTGACAGTTATTTCCCTGAGTGCAGGATTTCAGGCTAGTTGTTATTTTCTCTTAGCACATTGAAAATCTGCCTCCACTGTTTCCCTGGCTTCCTCTATCACTATGAAGAAATCAGTGGAGGGGGTGCCTGGGTGGCTCAGTGGGTTAAGTGTCTGCCTTCAGCTCAGGTCATGATCCCAGGGATGGTGGATCGAGCCCTGCATCAGGGCTCCCTGCTCAGCAAGGGGGTCTGCTTCTCCTTCTGCCTATGTCTCCACCACTCTGTGTCTCTCATGAATGAATAAAATATTTTTAAAAATACATTTCAGACAAGAGAGACTGAGATTTCTTGCCACCAACACAGTCTCAGTTGAGAAATTTATAGGGAATATATCTGAGGCAAGAGGAGAGTAATCACAGATAGTAAAATCAGAGGCGGAGGAAAATAAAAAAAGACTAAGTTTAAACAAATGTAAACTGTATAAAATACTGTTAATACTTCCTAGGGTTTAAAAAGGAAAAAAATAGGAAAATTAAATATTCAACAATAACAATATATAGATTGGGGTGGAGAGTGGGAACAGAATTAAAATGTTCTAAAGTAATTTGTTGTATAGAAGAAAATTAAAACGTAAATTTCTTGTGACTTTGAGAAGTAAAGACTGTGTTTTATAATCACTGGGTGACTACAGGAAAAGTGTAATATAATTTCCAAACTAATAGAGAAAAAAATAGTTTGTGGGGGGCAAAAACCGAATAATTCCAATTAAACCACAAAGAGGAAGGGGAAGAAAGTGAAATATGGAATAGGCTGGACAAGTAGAAAGCTTACGAAATGCAGCTAAGGCAGTAACTGCAGATTAAAATTTAGCTTTCAGTGTACATAGTAGGAAATAGAAAGAATGAAAAATAATCAGGAAAATATATATCTGAAGATAAGCAGTAAGGAAATAAGTTTTTTAAAAAAGAGCAAGCTACAAACTGGGAGAAACTATCTGCAATTCATATACCAGATAAAGAACTTAGGTATATATTTGATAAAGATTGGACAAAAAATAGAATGTGTAAAGAACTCTTAAAATTTATAAAAATACAAAGACAATCTCATTTATTTATTTATTTTTATTTATGAGAGAGAGAGAGAGAGAGAGGCAGAGAAGCAGGTTCCTCGCAGAGAGCCCGACGTGGGACTCGATCCTGGATCCCGGGATCAGGCCTGAGCCGAAGGCAGACGATCAACCGCTGAGCCACCCAGGCATCCCAAGACAACCCCATTTAAAATAGAAAATACAAATATCTTTGACATGTAATAAACCACACATAATTAGAGAATGCAGTTGAATGAATGCTCAAGTATGTAGACACCAGTGAAACACCAACACAAACAACGGCTGTGGGTACGAGCCACAGACGTTCCTCACGTGCTGTTCACTTACCCCTGTCCCCAGACAGCTACCTCCATGTGTCCCCTCTCTGTACAATATGCATAACTGACTCCCACCTCTGTGGCCCACATTTAATTTATGAGCAACACTTACTTTTCCCCTGCAGTTAGTGAAAGTTTTGACTGTTCCCCAGACAGCTACCTCCATGTGTCCCCTGCTCCCTCCATAGAGTACAGCAACGTCTCTTCATGTCCTATGTCCCATGGGACCACTAGACAGCAAAGCCAAACTCCAAGGGACACAGATCAAGTCCCCTCAGGAATCTCGGAACATACGCAGCCACACCCTCTGGCAACATCAAGGTCCAGAGGCCACCTCACTTGGTTTGAGGCAGAGGGAACCTCCATCTGCTGGGCAGGGCCACAGATCAGAGTCCCTGGGGTCCCTCCTTTATTTAATCCCACAACTACACCTGGTCACGTTTTGCACCAGGTAGGTAGACTGTTCTCCAGATGAACCCCTAGAATTAGGTCATTGTCCCTATAACTGAAATGATCTCTTTCAAAAAGTCCTTTCCTCTTGGGGTCCCTGGCTGGCTCGGTTAAAACAGCATGTGACTCTTGATCTCAAGGTCTTGAGTTCCAGAGCCCCAAGTTGAGTGAGAGATTACTTAAATAGGTAAAACTTAAAAAAAATTGGGGGTGCCTGGGTGGCTCAATTGGTTGGGTGACTGACTCTTGATTCCAGGTCAGGTCCTGGTCTTAGGGTCTTGGGATCAAGCCCCTTCATCCACCTGCCCCCACCCCAGTCAGGCTCCCTGCTCAGCAGGGAGACTGCTTCAGGATTATCTCTCCCTCTGCCCCCTCTCCTCTTCACATGCTGTCTCTCAAATAATAAATAAATAATAAATAAATAAATAAATAAATAAATAAATAATTCTTTAAAAAATCCTTTCCTCTTGACTCCTCCAAATAGCTATCAAATTAAACCTCACAAAACTGGTTCTTGCTCCTTCCTTTGTAAGTCTTATATGGATCTTCTAGCATATAGCTTTGGTGGGGATATTGGCCAGGTGGGGATATTGAAGACCCAGGTGAAATTGAGGGGGATATTTATATTTATATACTATCCTACCATTCATTCCAAGACTGTCACATAATCTTCAGACCAAAATTTCAAGTTAATGCAGTTCATTTATATTGGACCCTTTGGCAACTGATATTCAACTTGTCACAAACCTAACTGAACACTATTGCTCCTGACCCTACCCTTCCCCTGACAACCTTACCCGTCACCTTTAACTTTCTCGTTTCTGGAAGAAACTCATCACCCACATGGACACATCCCACACATCCTTCACAGTAGACTTCAAACCCTGAATTCTTCCTCAGATCTTCTTCTATAAAAATCTTAGATTAAGGGCACCTGGCTGGCTCAGTGGAGAAGAGTCTGCTTTTGGCGCAGGTCGTGATCCCGGGGTCCTGGGACTGAGTCCCCTGCAGGGAGCCTGCTTCTCTCTCTGCCTCTATCTCTGCCTGTCTCTGCATGTCTCTCATGAATAAATAAATAAAATCTTTGAAAAAAATCCTAGTTTAAGTTCCACATTGAGGGTCATGATTATCACACATTTCAATAACAAGTTTCATGCACACATAAAAGGCTGGAACTTCCAGAGTCCTCATCATGTGGAGATAGTTGGGATACAAAATATGTAGGTAATTGAGTAAGCAATATTTCATTTGACAAGTAAGAGATAATGATTTATTTGATTTACTCATTTTTCCTCTGGTATGTCTTAATCTTCCAAAATAGAATATGAGTTTGAGAGAAAAAAAATCAACTCACAGAAGTTGTACGTTCAATAGTCCAGAGAAAGCCAATGCTTCCCTAAAAGGGACTCGTAGACAAGCCCTAGAACAGTGATGTTACCAGCGGCGCTAACACTTAATGTACGAGGATTTCTTATTTGAATTTTCCTAAATGGAGTCTTTCAACTCTATATATCATTGCCTGAGCATGCTAATTTTGTAACTTCTTCAATTTGTTGGCCCTGTAAAGAGGGACAGGTGGGAACAGGAGGTGGTGGCGAATGGAGCTGGGAAGGGGCTCCACTCTGGTTAGCTGTCACTACATAACAAACCATTCTGAAGCTCAGTGGCTTAAAACAACAACCATCATTTTTTTTCTCTTCAATCTGCAATTTGGAAGGGACTCATCTCTGCTCTTTGCAACTTTGTCTGAGGTGGTAGGGCAGCCAGAGAGCCTCCTTCCGTGTTGCCTTGTTTGCATGGCTTCCAAGTTGGTCCGGCTAGGAAATGAAAGATGAGCCAGGGGAGTAGGCCAGCGACGTCAAGTCCTCTTCATGGGAGCCTCTCAATGGACAACATGGCCTTTCTCACAACATGATGGCTTAGTCCCAAGGGCAAGCCCCCCTGCAGGGCAAGGGGCATTTTCCATGTCTAGCCATAGAGTCACAAGAAGTTGCTTTAGCCATCTGCTATTTATCAAAACAGTCACAAAGCCTGTCTAATTTCAAAGTAGGAGACACAGACCCTGCAACTCAGTGGGAAAAGTAACAAGGTCAGATTGTAAGAAGAATAAGTAGGATAGAATATATTGTTAGCTATCTTTGGAAAATACAATCTACCTCTATTACAAGCCATAGTAAATTCAGAAGCAAAAGTAAAATTGACATTATTACCAAAACATATGCCATATTCTTGAAAGTACCCTCATAATACTATTTAAAACATCTCCAAATATACCCTTCTCAGCTTCTTCCCTTAGATTTTTTATTTGTTCCTCATACTTCATCTTCAGTGCTTTTATTTTTTCCTCTCGTTCTATCTGTGATAAATGAGCATATTCCTTTTCTACTAGTTTAATTTCTTTATTTAATTGATCAGTGTAGATTTTCTTCAGGATTTCTGCCTTTTGTTTCAGCCTTTCCTCTGTGTCCTTGTAAATGTCATCAGAAAAGTAAGCCCCGTCATTGCTCTGCACCATCTGCTCTATCAGTTCCACCAGCTCCTGCACTTGAGCTTCCTTCTCGGCTTCTTTGGCTCTGTTGTTGAAGGCACAGTAGCGGTCCCCACACTCCTTGCTGATGTTCTTTAGCTTCACATCTGCGCTCTCTATAAAGTCACTTAGGCTCTGATCCTCCAAGTTATCTTTGCGAGTGAACAACATGATCATGTGCTTCAAGGCTGGCTTCCCAAAGACAGCCTTGATCAATGCCACGGTCTTCTGCTCTTCCTCTGTGTAGCGGCCCAACTGTAGAACCAAGAGGATGGCATGGGGCCCGGGGCAGGAGGAGATAACACACCTGCTGATTTCCTTGCAAGTAGTGTCCAGAGTCTCTTTGGTATCAAAGAGCCCTGGGGTGTCAACAACAAGAAGGTTCCTCCCTTCCCATTCCCGGGATGCTTTCTGACACTCTTTGGTGATAGCATGGGCAGCAATTCTAGAGTCAAATACTTGTCTCCCAAGAATGGTATTTGCTGTTGCACTTTTTCCACTTCCAGTTTTCCCTACCAGAACAATCCTCAGAGTGTTGTCCTGAGGGTCAGCCATGTTAATATCAAGAGGCTTTAGGGCTTAGTATCCACAGACCTTAAGGAAGGCAAGGAGAAGGTAAAGGATCAATGTAAGTGGAAAATATTACCCCCTCTTTTCTTTTTTTTTTTTTTTGTTCTTCCTTGAAAGTGTGTAGTAGTCTATTATCCATGTTGATCCCATAAAGACAGAGATGAAACAGTTCAATTATCATGGAAGAAATAATAAAATAGCTAAAGAGTTTCCACACAAAAGAGTAATAGATCCAGATGGTTTCATGGGGAACTCATCTAAACCCTTAAAGATCTAATAATCTCAATGCTTCTTAAGCTATTCCTGATTATTTAAAAAGGAAGGGAAAAATTTCAGGCACCTTGGTGGCCCAGTGGTTGAGCGTCTGCCTTTGGCTGAGGTTGTGATCCCGGGGTTCTGGGATTGTGTCCCATATTGGGATCCCCGCAGGGAGACTGCTTCTCCCTCTGCCTATGTCTCTGCCTCTCTCTCTCTGTGTCTCTCAGAAATAAATAAATAAGATCTTTTAAAAAGGGGAGGAGATTTCAATTCTTTCTATGGCAGAAGTATGATATTGATCCTGAAGACTAATGAAGATTTCAATAAACAGACCTGTCATTTATGATACTAATACAAATATCCTAAATAAATTATTAGACACTAAAAAAGTAATACACCATGATTAGATGTGGTTTCAGAAACACTAGGGTAGTTTAATATGAGAAACTTGGGTTGTTATAATACATTCACATGAATACATTAAGAAAAAAATACCTAGACACAGAAGACATGTCACTAAATTCAACACTGATTCATGTTTAAATCATTTCATAAAATTTGAGTTAATAGATACTTCTACTTCTTTTATGCTATTTTATATAAATTTAAAATTTTTTGTTACCACTTTTTTCCCCTTACACCTAAAAAGTTGACTAACAATTCATCTGGATGCGTAAAAAAGAAAATTAGCCTGGACAATCAAGAAAGAGAAAAACTGGGCAGACTGGGTGGCTCAGCAGTTTAGCGCTGCCTTCAGCCCAGGGCATGATCCTGGAGCCTCGGGATCGAGTCCCACATCAGGCTCCCCGCATGGAGCCTGCTTCTCCCTCTGCCTGTGTCTCTACCTCTCTGTCTTTCTGTTTCTCATGAATAAATAAATAAAATCTTTTAAAAAAAGAAAGAAAAATTATGAGGGATGACTGGCTCTACAGCATAGTAAAGCATTTTAGCCTCTAAAATTAAGGCAGTATGATGTCAGTAAATGAATAGAGAGAACAGTGAAACAAAACCAGAAAATTCAAAAACAGATCAAACTTATCATACTATATTCCTGAATATTCAATTCAATTATATTATGCCACATTTATATTCAATAAGACAGCATCTCATATCAATGGGGAAAAAGATGGACTAATAACCAGCATTGGGGTAACTATAAAACCATATAGAAAAACACAAAACTGCCTCCACTGTCTTATGCCATTCAAATTCTAAGTAGATTAGAAATCTAAACATAAAAGTTAATCCATAAAAATACTAGAAAAAATGCAGATAAATTCTTTGTAACCTAGGGGTGGGGAAAATATTTCTAAGATTTTAAAGAGAGTAAGAAAAAAGACTCATAAATTTGATGACATAAAAATCTAAAAGATAATGTGAAGCCAAGAACACTGTAGACAATTAAAACACAAATGTCAAAGTAGGGGAGAAATTTTTCCAACCCATATCAAAGAGTGTTAATTTTCCTATTAGACAAAGAATAACAATGATGAATAAAAGAGAAAATTAACCTACTATACAGAATTCCTAAAAGTAGAGAAACAAAAGACCAACACCTTGATAGAAAATGGAGCAAGACTTATGAATAAACAGTTCAAAGGATAAAAATGTAAATGTCCCTTGAATATATAAAAAGATATTAACACCCACTTAAAGTAGAGAAAAATAAATCAAACATAGGAAAAGTAAGATAACTAAATTAAAACAATTAAAATTACACTGGAGATACTATTTCTCACCTACAGGTTTGGCAAAAATCCAAAAATTTGCTAGTATAATCTGTTGGTAAAAGTTTAGAGGAAATAGGTCCTCTTCTCCATGTCTAATGGGAATGGAAAAACAGTCCAAAACCTACAGAGGAGAAGTTAGTAATATCTTGCAAAAGTACATGTGCGTTTATCCTTAGATTATTTAGACCCAATTTTAGGATACATGCCTGTATATAAGGGCAGGCCACTCCAAAATGTGCCACTTTGGCATACTGATTATTTTAAATAAAAGTTACTAAAGAGACAGCCTGTGCAAGAAAGACACTCAGACCGTCTTCTATCCCCCTGCAAGTAGGAAACTAATCTCCCATGTAAAAGGTGCCTTCCCTGTCCCAGGAGCTAAAGAGACATCCTTATGACCAGAGATGGGAGATTTAGAGCCAAGAAGGCTGTACAGACAACTCCCGTTCGTTTTTACTAATTTTCTATCACAGCCCAAAGTCTGTTTAGAATTCCTTACTAATTGAAACTCCCAAAGTTAAGATTTCTTTGTCTTGTCAATTCCTCCCAGATTCATTGTCTCTTTGTCTAAAAAGTATAAAAATTGCCTGCCTTGGTTATTTCTTTTGGTCTCAACTTCATTACTGGGCCTCCAGGCACACTTTGCCTTTTCTCTCGTTAATCTGTCTCAAGAAAATGTAGTTCTTAGTCCAGCTGGAAGAACTTGAAGGGTAGGGGAGGAATTTTTCCTTCCCTACATCTCAAAGCTACACTGATAAAAATACAGGATAAAAATTATGCATAAGTCTATTCACTGCATCACCATTTGTAATAGCAAAAAAAAAAAATCTACCAAATGCCTATTAAGAAGGGACTGGTTGAATAAACTAAGGTATATTTACACAGAGAAGTATAGAAAGGCCTAAGAAATATCTCTATATGCCAGTATGAAGAGATCTCTAGGGTATTTCATTAAACAAAAAAGGCAAAGTGAAGAAAATAATGCACACTTTCCTACAATTTCTCTAATTAAGGAAGAACATGAACTATATGTATAAAATATAATATATATGTATATATATGTATTTCATGTACATGAAAAAGCAATGGCAGGAAAATCTGAAAAGTGAACAAACAAAAAGGTTTGTTTGTGGGGATGGGAAGAACAGGGTGAAGGGAACAAGAATAAAAGCTGGGAAATGCATTTCTTTGAATATACTTAGACTTCACAAATCTGATCTCAAACGCATGTACAGGTTATTCCCTGCTGTTTTAAAGTTCAAATCATACCACTTTACTCTTATGAAAGACCTACTTCTGTGCCTGTTCTTGCTAGCCAAAGTAAATTTGAAGAGAATTTTCATTTTTACAAAAAAACTGAAAGCAAAACAGCATTCAGAGTTTGTTTTACAGTTAGATGAGCCACTAAAGAGGCACACATCTTAGGCAGCAAGAGTGGTGCTGCTAAGCCCCTCTCTCAGGAACTCCATACAGCATCCCAGCATCCAGTGGATAGAGCTTTGAACCATGTGAGTGTGTGGGCTTCACCTCAATTGATTTTGTGCATCTGTTAGCAAGTTGTGTCTAGAAGTATCAGAAATGCATAAGGGAAATTATTTGGGGGAATCTGGGGATACCCCAAGATGTTTCCAAAGAAATTAATAGTAATTGTTTCTCTGTTTTATGTCATTTTGGTTTATGAAAGATTTTATAGGAACATTCTGCTTTCAGATAGTAGGGGAGACTTGTAAATAGTTTATATAATTATACAACAAAAACTGTATTTTAAAATACTAATAAGGGATGCCTGGGTGGCATGTCAGTTAGGCATCTGACTCTTGATCTCAGCTTAGATCTGGATCACAGGGGATCCCTGGGTAGCTCAGCAGTTTAGTGCCTGCCTTCGGCCCAGGGCATGATCCTGGAGTCCTGGGATCGAGTCCCATGTCTGGCTCCCAGCATGGAGCCTGCTTCTCCCTCTGCCTGTGACTCTGCCTCTCTCTCTCTCTCTCTCTCTCTCTCTCTCTTTCTCTGTGTGTGTGTGTCTCTCGTGAGTAAATAAATTTTTAAAAAAATCTTTAAAAAAGATCTTGATCACAGAGTCATTAAGTTCATACCCCACCTTAGGTTCTAGCGTGGAGTCTACTTTAAATAAGTAAGTAAGTAAGTAAGTAAGTAAGTAAGTAAGTAAATAAATAAATGTTTCTTAAAACACTAGTAAAAATCAAAAGCAAATGAAACATATAGTATTTCATGTAATAGATAACCACACAAAAGTTGCAAAGAAACTTGAAAAATGCAGTAATTTCGTTGTCCACCCCTAATGGGGTATATCATAAGCCCAAAAAGGGAAAAAAAATCTGCCAAAAAAAATCTTAAATTTTTTTAGGAATCCTATCCTGTACTTAGTGTGTGTGTGTGTTTAGTTTTGAAGACCAGTGACAAGCCCAGTGGCAACGAGAACCCTTGGTGACCATACTGTGCTCTTCAAATGCTATTTCCCACTAAACACATTAGGACTCTTAGGAAAAAGTACTGATCCCAGGTCTGGGCCAGGAAACGTGCAAGTGGATCCTAGACTGTCTTGTCATACTATAAGGCAAGGGTGCTATCAAAAATTACTCAGACCATGGAACACCTGGCTGGCTCATTTGGCAGAGCATGCAACTCTTGATCAGGGTCACATTCGGTTTAGAGATTACTTTTAAAAAAATTACTCAGAACTTATCAAAAGAACTAAAGCATCAAGAAGAGGCTCTGACAGATGGGCAATTTGGGATCAATAAGAATAATATTTCCAAAAAAAAAGAATAATATTTCCAATGGGTTGAAATATATCAAATATGTTGAAATCTATGAATTCATAACAATATCATCTTCTTAAAAGAAGTCAGTTGTTCCCTTTGTAGTGTGCTAGGAAATAATTACATCATTCTGAACAAGGGAAAGAATCAAGCATTGCTTTCATTTTACATAACTGTACCTCATGGAAATGAAAGAATTGTTGAGGGGGAGTTTCTTTTTACAGGATTATTCCATCCAATAAATGAAGAAAGAAGGATAAAATTAGAATATAATAATTTGTGACCCTTAATGAAACAATTTTACTATAGGCTGTCATTAGCATCTGCTAAATCACAGGAAGAGAGAGAAGTGAACATAATATGCTGATATGTTTACAACTGCTCCTATGAAATATTCCCACCCAAAAAACCAGGCAAACCTTAATCTGATTCTCTCCTTAAATTTAAATTCATACACTGAATTTAAACACTGAAACTGGAAGAGCATGTTAAATAACATCTTGAGGGTTTAATCAACAAAATGTACACTGTCCAATTCTTTTGGACAAAAGACTGCCCTTTTCTGAAACAAAAAAATTTCACAGAAAGAAACAGGAAGGTGGAAACTTATTAAGCTAAACCTAAGAGATATCAAACAATTGCAATTTATGAACCTTATTTGGATCTGATTTCAAACAATTTTTAAAATTATGAGACCATTGGGGAATCTGAACACATCTGGTAATATTTTAAAAATCCTAATTGCTTTTCAAAGTCTGAAAAAGTCATATTTTTAATGGTCTTTATCTTTCAGATATACATATTCAAATATTTACTAATAAAGTGATACAATGTCTGATATTTACTTCAAAATAATCTGGGGCAGATGAGAGGGGTTTATAGATGAAACAAGATTGACATAAATTGATAATTGCTGAAGCCTGGTTTAGGTACACAGAAGTTATCTTTGAATGAGTTAAAAATTTCCCTCAGTGAAAAATTTAACTTGGGGATGCCTGGGTGGCTTAGTCGGTTAAGCATCTGCCTTCAGCTCTGGTCATGATCTCAGGGTCTTGGGACCCAGCCCCACATCTGGCTCCTTTTTCATCAGGGAGTCTGCTTCTCTCTCTCCCTCTGCTTCCTCCCTACTGCTTATGCTCATACTCTCTCTCTCTCTCTCTCAAATAAGAAATAAATAAAAATCTTTTTAAAAAATTAACTTGTTTGTAGTGTAACAACTATTAAATGTATACAATATACCAAGCACCCTGATAAATAGTTTTTATACGTTATTTCCTTTTCTCCCCAAAAATAGCCTGCAAGGAAGCTCATTTTGTTATTCTAATTTTAAAAGTTTATTTACTTATTTAAGTCATCTCTACACCCAACGTGGGGCTCGAACTCATGATCCCCAAGATCCAGAGTCACACACACACACACACTCTTCTAACTGAGCCAGACAGGCAGCCTTAATCTAATCTTTTTAAATGAGGAAATTGATGCAGCTCAGAAATGCTGAGAGACTTGCCCAAGGTCACAGTGCTAATAGGCATTGGGCAGAGGAGGGACCCAATCCAAAGTCTGACTGACTACTACGCTCATGCATAACCATTACAAACTATGGCCTCTTTCTGGTTCCTTCTCAGGTCCTTGATTCTACATTTCTGTCTACACTGAATCAGAAAGATCAGGGAAGGACAAGGGAGATAGACAGTGCACATTCTTTCCGGAAACGTAACTTATAGCAGGCCTGGAATTAAGGAAGGCAACGAAAGGATTTCATGCAATTTGTAGAATAGCTACTCTCGCCCCCATGGCATTCCCGCCTTGCCTCATCTACTACACTATCAATCATACAACTTCCCTCCTTAAATGTTGAAAGGACTCAGCAACCTGAGTTTTTACTTCTTATGCCATTAGTGACTGGGCTATCCTTGGGAGATTAACAAAATCACATTCACACAGGCTTGGATTCAGATTCTTTTTCAGGAGAAAGAGGGTTTTAGATCCAGGGGTCTCTAAATTGCATTCTGGCTCTAAAGACCTGCCTTGAGGACAACAGCTGTCCTGTCACAACAGCAACTAATGGAAGGTATATCATGCTATTCAGCAAGTTTGTCCTGTTAAATATGAGACAGGTGGACATTGGGTCAACGAGTCCCCTTCCTCCCACGCTACCCTCCACCACTATCCCTCTGACAGCATCCTCCTTGCTGTGCTGCTGGTACAGCACCTCGTCTCCCCTCTCACCCCAGAATCCACCCCCATGCATACCCCTATGTCCCACTGCCTCTCACAGCTCCATTGCTCTGAGGCCAGGCTCACCTTCTTTTGAATGAGTTGATGGGTTCTCAGGTTTTCTCCAAAGAAGACTTCGAAGCTTTTGTTCTAACTGTGAGGAAAGTGTAGCTAGCCTTTGAAACCGCTGAGCCAGGAAGTTCTGATTGGGTGGAGCTAGTGAAAGAAGAGTTTGCCTTTAAAGAAACAGAAATACTGTCCCATAATTTGGGGAGTGTTATGAACAGAACTGAAGGCCCTTCTGAGAGAGGAGGAGAGTTCAGAAAACCCTAACTTCATGTTTTCTATCCCTGCAGAGGGTCTGTCCCCAAACCCTGAGAATGGCTAGACCTAACTAGCAGATATGAAAGTTCTAGGACTCTTGATTTCTGGCTCAGTGTCTCACCCTCTGTCTAATGCATCTGAAAGTACTTCCCTCCTACATCTTCAAGAAATAAAAATCACAAAGGAGCACCTAGGTGGCTCAGTGGTTGAGCGTCTTCCTTCAGCTCAGGTCCTGATCCCAAGGTCCTGGGATTGAGTCCCACATCGGGCTCTCTGCAGGAAGCCTGCTTCTCCCTCTGCCTAGGTCTCTGCCTCTGTGTGTCTCTCATGAACAACAACAAATAAAATCTTTAAAAATAAAAAGAAATAAACCCCACAAACTTTTGACAGGAAACTCTACTTCCTTCGGCCAGAGATCAATGTAGGGACTGACACAGGGCTTGATCAGTTTGTTATTTAGCAAGAAGGTCAAACAGACCACAGGTGAGGAAAGCGGCCAGCGATATTAGAGCCTTCTATCTTGCCACCAAATAAAATTAGTTACTTCTCCTTAAGAACAATCTCCTTCAAGTAAATTGTTGGATGTCACTCAAGCTTCCTGAGCTCTCCCCATTCACTCCTCCTCCAAAGGGTACTGCATAAAAATGAAGAATCAGCACCTCCACAGCCTGTCTACCAGGGTAAGGGACCTGGAGTCTCTGCACCCTGGCATTCATATGTCTTTATTGAAATGGCTCCACGGACATCCAAAGAGAGATGCTCCCTGCAGTCTGAGAGCAGCCTTGTAACAGAGATAGAGGGGCTATGTGTGCTAGTGCGCTAGGGGCTGGATCCCTCAAAGGAAATACCAATCAAAGCCTCATGAAATAAGGACCAGCCCCCCAAGAGACTTACTCTCTTCCACTCTGATATATTTGGTTATTCTAATGAGTTAACCACAATCATTCAGTCCTGCCATCAAACAGGTTTCTGCTTCCATCTAAGGCTCCTCTGAAGACTCTACCAAAGACTACCATTCCGGATCTGTGTCTTCATCAGAGAAGCATAGTCTCAGAGCTTCACAGGAAAACCGTAGGAGGTACTCTGAGCTATCGTTACTCCAAATAGATTCTTTAAAAAACAAACAAACAAACAAACAAAAAACAAATAGACTCTTCAGAGCAGGTTTCCAAGATGGAGTGCTTAGTCAATGCTCAGACTGTGCCAGTGAGTGGAGCCAGGACTGCTGGGACTCAGTCAGGAAGCATATGTCCCTCATGAAATCAGATGACTGGTTCAAGATCCAGCAGAGTGAGAATTAATTACATAGGACCGAGTGAACTGATTAAGGAAATTGCATTGTGGTTATTTGCTTGGAATACGGGATGGCGTTATTTTCAATGTCCTACTTGTACAGATATATGAGGAAACTTCCTTTCTTTCGCTGTAAACTATCTCCCATTCACAATTTAGTAGATCATGTATTTGTAAACTGATACCATTTTTATTTTTTTTTAATTTTTTATTTATTTATGATAGTCACAGAGAGAGAGAGAGAGGTAGAGACATAGGCAGAGGGAGAAGCAGGCTCCATGCACCGGGAGCCTGACATGGGATTCGATCCCGGGTCTCCAGGATCGCGCCCTGGGTCAAAGTCAGGCGCCAAACCACTGCGCCACCCAGGGATCCCCCATTTTTATTTTTTTAAGATTTTATTTATTTATTCATGAGAGACACAGAGAGAGAGAGACAGAGACACAGGTAGAGGGAGAAGCAGCCTCCATGCAGGCAGCCCAACGTGGGACTTGATCCCGAGTCTCCAGGATCATGCCCTGGGCTGAAGGCAGCACTAAACCGCTGAGCCACCCGGGCTGCCCTGATACCAACCATTTTTAAATGTTAGCTGATCTTCACTTAACCTTCAGAATTCCAAAACAAATACTTCTGCTGAGTTTTGTTCCACTTTTATATTGATATTTATATTGTATAGGTCCATTAAAAATCTATCTTCTTTTTTACAAAGATACAATTGAAAAAAAAAATTCTGCACCAAGGTCATCTATACGGTGTTTTGTTTTTTGTTTTTTGTTTTTTTAAGGAGGAGGGGAAAGGGAGAAGGAGAGAAAGAATTCTAAGCAGGCTCCATGCCCAAGGCAGAACCCATCATGGGGCTTGGATCTCACGACCCCGAGATCATGACCTGAGCTGAAATCAATAGTCAGACACTTAACTGACTGAGTCACCCAGGTGCCCCTATAGTGTGATATCTGAGAGTGATTTTTATTTAATCAAGGATAACCAGACCACTACTAGGGAGCAATGGTTGGTGTTGTATATGGAGCAAATGCCTATAAAACCCTCCTGAGAAAACTAATATGACATCTGGCTTCCAGGATCTGTCTCTCAGGTAATAAGGAAGTCCACTCCCTGGCAGTCCAGAAACCTTGGCAAATTTTGGAGACCTCAAGAAGAGGAAAATTCACTGAGATTTATAGGCACAATATGCAAATTTTATCAGAGAAAGTGTTTGGGTCTCGGCTTCCTACTCTTGGGATAGAAGAATGATAGAGTCTGATTCAAGATTTGTCTTGAAAATTTCCAAAATGAAGTCTGTTCTTTGGAATTAAGAGTTGCTTAATACTGTTAAGCTGAACAAATTCAAGGAGGCTATTCCAATTAATTAAGATTTTTGCTGCATCCATGTAAATAATCAGGCCACACATAATAAAATCAATCTTTGAAGATCAGCAATAATTGTTGGGGGCTGTTCATTATCATAACGTGGAGAACACCATTAAAATAGTCCAAAATTTAAAAATAGGTAAGAGAGGGCAGCCCTGGTGGCTCAGCGGTTTAGCGCTGCCTTCAGCCCAGGGCGTGATCCTGAAGTCCCACTATCGAGTCCCATGTCCAGTTCCCTGCATGGAGCCTGTTTCTCCCTCTGCCTGTGTCTCTGCCTCTGTGTGTGTGTGTGTGTGTGTGTGTGTGTCTCATGAATAAATAAATAAAATCTTTAAAAATAGGTAGGAGAGATTACTGAGTGTTCTTTCTCTGTGTGGCCTGTGCTTCACTGTCGTCTGAGATATTTTACAACTCTATAAGGAAAGAGAGGTATTTTGCATAGTTCTGCCTTATAGATATGCAAATAATTTTCTGTCTAATGGAATGTATAACTCAAAAGTTACTCTTGGAGAGTCAGCCCTAGATTCTTAAATGAACTTTGAACCAATTCTTGTATCCTGCCGGTTCCCTCATTAACCAATGAGTTGAGCAAAATCTTTGTTTATACTTGCACAAGAGTCATGATTTTGCTTTTTTCTTTTTTAAAGTAGGCTCCATGCACAATGTAGAGCCCAATACAGGGCTGAACTCATGACCCTAAGATCAAGACCCAAGCTGAGATCAAGAGTAGGCACTCAGCTGAGCCACCCAGGCACCCCATGGTTTTGCTTCTAATTATTTTTTTATTTTTTTTAATGCTGCACTCTAAGAAAGAGAGGGGGAGGGCAGCCCTGGTGGCTTAGCAGTTTGGCGCCGCCTTCAGCCCGGGGCGTGATCCCGGAGACCCAGGATGGGTCCCATGTCGTTGGGCTCCCTGCATGGAGCCTGCTTCTCCCTCTGCCTGTGTCTCTGCCTCGTTCTCCTTCTGTGTCTATCATGAATAAATAAATAAATAAATAAATAAATAAATAAATAAATAATCTTAAAAAAAAAAGAAAAAAGAAAAAGGGGGGAAATAGCAGGACACAGATAGAGAACTGCAAACAATTTGGAGTGGAGGAATCATTACCAGTCTCTATTGAGCACCTACTGTGTTGCAGGCACTGGCCTTCATATCATTACCACCTTTGATCCTCACAACAGTAAAACAGATATCAACAGGAGTGATGACTAGTAATTTGGATATGCAGAACTCCACTGAAACTACTGTATTATACTACTTCTCAAGGAGAGAAATAGAAGATTGGATTTGGAAGAAAAGTTGATGCAGATTTTAATGATTGTTAAGTACCAGGCCAAGGAGTGGAGTCTCAGCCCTAGGCAGTAGAAGGCTCCCCAGAACCAGTGACATAAGAAAACTATACCAATGGGCTTAACCTAGTAACTGCAACTAGGGTGGAAAAGGAAGAGATGGGAGGATGGTATTTTACCCTCCAACTGCATGCACTTTCCCTTTCTTACCATCCAGGTTCAATTGTGTCTTCCTCAAAGATATGTTCACGTCCTAACTCCTAGTACCTGAGAATGTGAATTATTTGGACTAAGGTCTTTGACATGTCACTAAGTTTACATTAAGGTGAGCCCTAATCCAATGACTGGAATTATTCTACAATGAGGGAAATTTAAACACAGAGACACAGGGGCACCTGGGTGGCTCAGTGGGTAAAGTGTCCGACCCTTAATTCGGCTCAGGTCATGATCTTGAGGGTCAGAAGATTGAGCTCTGCATCATGCTCTGTGCTAGGTGGGGAGTCTGCTTGAAGATTCTGTCTCTCTTCCTCTGCTCCTCTACCCCCCTCACCGCTGCTCATACACACTCTCTCTAGAAACAAACAAACACAGATACAGAGAATACCATGTGACAAAAGGGGCAGAGATTGGAGTGATATACTTATAAGCCAAGGAACACCAAGGATGGCCAAGCAGCCACCAGAAGCTAAGAAGAAGCAAAGAAGGATCGATCGTATCCCAGAGACCCTGAAAATGTCCTGATTTTGAACTTCTAGCGTCCATAACCATGAGACAATAAATTTCTGCTGCTTTAAGCAACCGTTTGTGGTCATTTGTTACAACAGTCCTGGGAAATTAATATAGATTTTGGAGCCAAGAAACGGG